CCCCCCAACCCCCCAAACGGTCTATTTTTAAGCAACATTGCCGATTGGACATCCCTGCACATTCAAGTCTGTATACAAATGAAGTGCCAAAATAGACCACTCACCCATCTCCCTGCCGCCTCCATAATTTGGAGCTCCTCCCTGATGAGACACATACAGTTCACATTTCAGAAAATTTATCATCCTATCCAACTGCTACAGGAAATGGCCATGACCTGATCTGACCCAAATTTTCCCCCCTTTGTCTCTGGATTAGTCATTCCCCCCGTAATTCTCCACCCTCCATCCCTGGAGTGATCACACACCTTCTAATGACCCACCATCATCTCTGGAGTAGTCACACCCCCTCTAATACCCCACCATCATCTCTGGAGTAGTCACACCCCTTCTAATGCCCCACCCTCATCTCTGGAGTAGTCACACCCCCTCTAATACCCCACCATCATCTCTGGAGTAGTCACACTCTTTCTAATGCCCCACCCTCATCTCCAGAGTGGTTACACCCCCTCTAATGCCCCACCTTCATCTCCAGAGTGGTTACACCTCCTCTAATGCCCCACCTTCATCTCCAAAGTGGTTACACCCCCTTTAAGGCCCCACCTTTCATCCCTTAAGTGGCACACCTTCTGTAATGCCCAAGCCCTGGAGTAGCCACACCCCCAATCCTCAGAGTCACACCTACTCAACATTCCCCACCCATTAACCATTGCAAGTCACCCCCTGTGTGGCGGCTCCTCCAATGCACTCTGTTGGATCCTCTTTGTGTGTTGTCAGTTTTCCTCTCCTGTAAAACATCACAAAGAGAGACATTCGTACAACTGCCAGCAGGGCACTTGTGGCCCTAGAAGATTTTAAGACTATGGCCCTTACCAGGCTGGGGTGGCCTGCGCTGTTTTCTCATCATCATACAGAGCTCCCGTCGCCTGGACTGAACGTACACCATCTGGAAGAGAATACAGAACTGTTATAGTCAGTCATAGTCCTGCCCTTCCCCCGCGGATCTCTAAGCTCCACCCACCATTTATATCCAGAACAATGAGGCGCGGCGTGTACGTCTCCACTCCATTCTGGGTGATCCCCGTCCGAAACTGAACATTACTGCAGAGCTCTGAGTCCGGCCAGCGGGAACACTGCGTCTCCTGGGAAAGACAAGAGAGGTTGTGAGGAGCTCTGCCATCGATTAGAGTGTTAGCTCTTCTGCCAAATTTCTCCATTACCAATTTCTGTATTCACTTGGCTCACTCCTTTGACACACCCAACTGTCAGGACCTACTCCGCCACATGTGTCTGGCTTCTGCTTAGACACAGCCAACAGCCACTTTGCTTCTGTACACTGCCCAAACCCCCTATACACCTTTCCCCTCTTTATAACCTACCCCCTGCCCGCCCCATACTACCTCTGCCTCATAAAAAAAAATAACCATTTTACCCCCTATATATCCCCACACCTCTCATCTTATATATACCAGCACCACTTCCCTCTCCCAACTATATTCCCCTCTAAATACATCACTATTCTCTCCCTTCTATGTACCTCCAGCCACATTCCCCTCTCCCCTTTTACTCACCTGCAGGTTCCACCAGTGGGCCCCCACACAGTTGGCATATTGCCCTAACTGAATGCAGATGACCTCCCGGCACACAGCACCCATGTGCAACCCTAAAACCTCCCCATACAGCTACGGAGAGCAAACCGGACCTTGTCACCATGGCAGCGGGCCGCCTCTTCTCCAATTGGTCAGCCGCTTGTCACTCATAGCTTCCCATCTGGCATGGTACTGGCGATTCGCTAAGCCTGGAAGGCGTGGTTTCTGCAGGGCACGTGATTCGCGTTTGTCACTACCGCAACACCCGGGACACGGAAGTGTCGCCATGAGAGAGACGGCCATCTTGTTGGTTATTTACCTTCTGCACTGCAACGTTGCCAAAGATTGATGGAGTGGTGGTGAGACCCATTGCTAGGGGTGATTTCCTGGGTGCTCGATGGGGCAAATCTATTTAATGGGGACACAGATCAATAAACAGCCAAGGGGTCTCATCACCCTCACACAATACCAAGGACACAATTCTGGCTTGAGTCCCTCCTTGGTGGTTTTTAGATGCATATGTCAGAGGTCTCCATGCATGAATCAGATTTGTGTGCGTTGATCCTTCCTCATGCCTATGCCAAAACATTACACAGGCACCGCCCCCACAAACCAGTGCTCAACAGTGATTGGCCCTTAGTGATAAGACTCAAAGCAGGTCTGCCTATCCTGACCAAAAGAATCCCAGCAGTATCTAATGATGAGAAACATCCACAATGCTCGGTCAAAGACCATGTGCTCAGGGCTGCCTAGGCTAGAAGTCACATGACAGAATAGCTGTCCCTTTATTGATGGCAGAGAAGAGGAACGCTATGCACATGGTGGGATCTACATAGGGGCTGATACTGGTGACTGGCTGTCATGCCGATCCTCTGGGTTTTGCAGAGAACATGTAGCACTCTCATTCTTCCAGCATTGTCGTCTCTGTCATCATTTGATGGTTTTTGTCTTTCTCATCTTGATCAGTCGGTACCTCAATACGGAAGGTCGCTGTGATGACTCACATGCGATGCTCTTTATCCCGAGAGAAGACTAGGCCCGGAAGGAGCAGTGAAGCCGCACTCAGACAGGGTCAGGTAGGGTGGCAGATGGAGCGTCAACATTTCATCCACCACATGGGGCAGATTCCAGACCCGCAACTGGCAGATGTGAGCTGAACTCTGCACTATACAAACCTTCTGCCCCATTACTGCCAGCAGAGTGCCCCTTTAAAGAGTGACTTTAAAACAGAACTCCGGCTACCCCCTGCACTGTAAGGGTTAATTGCTTGTTTTGGTCTAGGGAGGAAATTAAAGTTATGTGCACCCAATCCTCAGAGCTGGCTGGCTGTAACAGAGCTCCCTCCAGCCTATATCCTCCTCCACTGCAATGATATGTCACACGGTGTCCTCACATCCTATACACAGTGTAAAGAATGTGATAACTCACAGACCCTAGCCCGCTGGTGTGGAGGGGGAAGAGAGGCTCCAAGGACTGGTCTCACAGAAAGCAGTCTCAGAGGATCGGGTGGGGATAACTAGTATTTTCCTCCCTAGAGCAAAACGAGCACCTAACCCTTGCAGTGCCAGGGTAGTCCCACTGCAAGGGTTAATTTAAAGGAGAACTATGAGGTGAATAATTCTCACTCAACCTCATAGTTCGAGCCGACGTGTGACAATGAAACTGTCACACGTCGGTCCAATAGATCGGGAAGTGAGCGAACACATACCGTCGCTGGCTCACTTCTCAATCATGTCCCTGCAGAGAGCTGTGATTGTCACTCACGGCTCCCTGCAGGGATTCCGCCCGCTCCGATCCTCCAGCGCTGACTGGCGGAAGGGACGGTGAGGGGGTGGGTACAGCCGGCTCTGCCTCTAGATAGGCAGAGCCAGCTGTCAATCACGCAGCTGGGTGGATCCAGACAGCATTGTCAGGATCTGTCCCGGCTGCGGCGAACTCAGTATACCGCGAGCTGTAGGTCAAGGGAGGATGCTAGTTTATGTCCTCCTGTGACCCTTAGGAGAATTATGGGGAAAAGCACTGACCCCATAGTTGTCCTTTAAAAAAAAATCCCTGGTGTTCCTTTATTGGTTTAGGGGCTCTGTCAATAAATGTGTGTGAACTGTTTTATATCCCCTTCACAACCCATGACGGGATAATCCCGTCATGGAGTTTGAAGGGGTTAAACAAAAGCCGGCGGGAGTCTGTTCAGTTTAGTAGAGCCGGCGGCCGGCTTTACAGTAGAAGCGATTCTGGCGGCTCAGCTGCTGCCAGATCGGTTCTACGATCCCGTAACCGGGGCACCCCCCCCCCCCCCCCCCCCTGTCTCTGCTCTCTCTCTCAGGTTGCCGGGTGTCAGAGGGAAGCTGGGGAGGTGAGTGGCAAACCTCAGTTCGCCGATCCCCTCCCCGTACCATGGGACCGGGAACGATGCGTATTGCATCACTTCCGGTTCCATAGCTGTCATTGGTCGGCTCCTGAAGCCCAGCAATAAGCTATTGAAGTGTGATCTGCTTCTCAATAGCTTATTTCAAGTCGAAAGGTGATACCGGGGGTCCAAAAGTCTTTTGGACCCCCAGTATCACCTTAAAAAGTACCTATCACTGCCAATATTCTATCACATGGGGGAGCTTGTGAGCCCCCAATGTGATAGCAATTGAAGTTAAAAAAAAAAAAAAGTTTAAAAAATAATAAAATATAAAAATAATAATAATTTTTTTTTTTAAAGTCCCCGCCCCAGCGAGCACACGTGTCGTGAGCCTATGTTGGAAAATGACAATCGCGCTACACATGTTGGGTGAGAGCAATAATTCCAGGGCCAGTATTTACGCTTACCTCTAAACCGATAACCCGTAGGGGCTTTTAAAGCGTCGTCTATGGACTTTTCGGTGTACTGAATTCTGTCGCAGTTTCACGGACGCACACAATTTAGTACCTGGGCATGTTGGGTGTCTATTTACTCGTTGTAACCTCCCCTTTTATATTTAACCAAAAAAATGGTTTCATATAGTGTTTTGGGGCACTAAATTTAAATTTAGGGCATTTTTCACTACGTTTTTTGGGTTGGATAATAAGTTGCGCTAATGTCGTGCAACATACAAATTTGCAACTGCCACCATTTTATTCTACAGGGTCTTGGCTTTCAGAAAATATATAATGTTTGGGGGGTTTTAAGTAATTTTCAGGCCTAAAATGTGGATTATAACATGGGTGCAAGAAATGTTTTTAAAAAAAGGCCTTAGTCCTTAAGGGGTTAAATATGCTTGTACACAATCTTTATTCAAACATTTAATAAGATGCCAGAGGATTCCCAGAGCACTCTGGGTACTCTAGAGAGACAATCACCTTTTTTCTCCAGACTTCAATGCTGAAAACCACCTTATCCCCCCATTGCGAGAAGCCCCAATACTCACACAAGGGTCGCTTTATAGAAAAAGTACTTTTATTTTATACAAAGCAGAGAAAGCCCCCCAAACTTCAGATGATTAATGGGGAGTCCCCCTGGGAATTATTCAAAGTCTCTCTGGGGGGCCCCAAATATGGCATACAATGGGCAAAATCCCAGGAGTCACATGAGGGGGCACCAGGAACCGCCTGCGATAAAGACAGACCGCCCACGTACAGCTCCCCCTGTGGTGTCCATAGGGCCCGGTGACAACCGAAGAGCCAGTGACGTGCTCATGATAAATATTGCACAAGGGAAAGGACCGCGTCCCCTGATACGCAGACTGGTCCCAACACCGTTACAGGAAGGTGCAAATCTTCTCCATCTCTCGTGGGTTGGAACTAGAAAGAAACATCAACTCCGTCTTCCCCTGTTCTGTCCGCGCTGCAATATAAACGCATTTCTGGATTACATATCTATATACCGTCTGCACAAAGTCAACACACAATTTGATTCGATGAGATTTTAAAACGGTCACATTTTTAACAAAGAAGAGGGCCTGGAGCCCATTACGGGACGAATTCACAACCTACCTTTTTCATGTTGGATCCATTTCCTCTCCACGTAGTACTGGTAACAGCTCTCAAATTCCTTCTCGCTGTATTTTGTCACTTGTATGGGGATAAAGGGGTCCAGGAAATCAAAGCCCTCCTGTAATACGAGAGTACTGAGACATGGAACATCTAGACATACAGCCAACGCAGAGCATGATCCTGCCGTGATCTCCCCTCCCCTATCATTCGTCAATCATTGAGTAACTATAGAGAATTACAGTACGTCTGACAATTTCTTATGCCGAGTGCAGTTCTCACTGACTACCACAAGGTGGTGCTGTCACAATGTAAAGGAACACAAAGAGAACTAGTCATGTCTTTATATAGCATAAGACGGGGATGGCCAAACTCCGGCCACCCAGCTGTGGTGAAACTACAAATCCCATGAAGCATCTCTCTCCGGGAGTCATGTCTGTGGCTGTGAGAATCTTGCAAAGCCTCATGGGATTCGTAGTTCCACCACAGCTGGAGGGCCGCAGCTTGGCCATCCCTGACATAAGAGCACCCCAAGGCCTTGTGTATCCCCACTGTGCCCAAAAGATGGCTGGAAAGTTCTGGCCATCTGCAAGCAAAGTGTATGTTAAAGAGCCCTCAGCTATTTGGAAAGCTACAGTGTCAGGTGAGAAAAGTAGACTGCTGCCATCCCACCCCCTTGGCTGTGGTCCCCTTCCCATGCCTACGGTCATCTTCTCCCCCATGGGTGCCATTCCCTTACGGCTGAACGGAAAAAAAGGGAGGGAAGGAGCGCAAAAAATTGGCGCAGAATTTGTGGAGTCTGCGCCAGTTTTTTGCGCTCCTTCCCTCCCTTTCTTTCCGTTCAGCCGTAAGGGAATGGCACCCATGGGGGAGAAGATGACCACCCTTTCTTTCCGTTCAGCATCACACAGTTAGACACCCCAGTCTAACTACGCAAGGAGCTGCATCACGGCCACGACACTCCAAACCCCCCCTAGGAGTGCGCTAGCCAATCAGCGTCTTTTCCAACTTCCTATTCCCTTACGGCTGCCTCTCCTACAACGGCAGAAAGGACACCCGGAATTTGCATTATCTTTTGTCGCCCCCTGCTGGTTACTCTAGGAAATAGTTTGCCATTTTATCTCGGAGTTGATCATATATCTTCAGCGCCCCTTGAATGTCAATCTACTTATCTGATGACAACTTTCCAGCATCCAATGAAATCTGTGACATCTCTGCTGTACCCTTCTGGCTTGGGATGCAGAGTCTCCGATCACCAGGGCAGGTATGGGTAATGGGAGCTGTGTACTGGGTGCGTTACAATATCAGAGCCTGGTAACAACAGGAGGAGCCCCTGAGCACACACATCTGCTGTCACTGGCTCTAAACAATAGCGGAAGTCACTCACCTTGCCGAGAAGCGCGTGTGGCAGATATGCTGATTTTGGATTGAATAATGACCCGGTCTGGCTGACAGTCAGGACAACGGCGCCTCCTGTCTGTGGGGTGAAACACAGCAATATATAATACACAGAACACACCGTCCTCTGCACATCCCGTAATACAGACAGGGATCCGCTTCTGTGTCCACATTGCCCAAGCGCAGTCACTAATTATTCCAGGTCTGCTGCTACCAGGCAATCCAAAACATGTGACCGTTATCGGCCTCAGACTGGCTGGAAGCAGCATTTCAATCTTACCCAATCATTCTTCACCATCTTCCGGAAGTTGTGGACAAGTGTCAGCTCTTCAGGAGACACCTGGGATAGAAAGAAAGGAGAGGGAAAGGTTTATCCTGTTCTCCTTCTTCAGGCTGGTTCTCCCCCACAGACTGTTGGCCCCATCCATAGAGACCAGGATTCGGAAGGCGTCTCCTCCACTCTGTCTCTTCAACTCCTTCAACACCACCCCAACCACGTCACTGGCTGTCTTCACCCGAGACAGGCCCTGCCAAGCACAAAAACAGTATTATGCGACCCTGGAGGGATACATGAAAAAATAGGATTTTTGTACTCACCGTAAAATCCTTTTCTCTCCGTTCATAACCACCGGCGGAGTAGCCCACTTTGACAGGAAACTCTCCTCAAATGGATAGCGAACCGAAAAGCGCTTCGGGACCGCAAAGGATTTGGACGGGCGTTTCCACTCCTTATAAATGAACTCGTCAAAAAAGGGAATGTAGGGAAACACCTTAGCAGAACGCTTGGCCATAGTAGAAGTGCCAGGAGACTCCTCAATCTTAAGCGTCTCACGGACGGCGCGCACCAGCGCCGAGACCAGCTCGCGTTCCTGAACCATGAGCGCAGACGCAGATTCATCCTCACTGCCCGAGTCCGGCGGTGAGGAGTCAAAAATTCCCTAGAGGGGACCACCTACATGTCACAATCCCTTAATTGGACCACACACACACATCACAACCTCCCCCTGGAGGGGGACCACGCACACGTCACAACCTCCCCCTGGAGGGGGACCACGCACACGTCACAACCTCCCCCTGGAGGGGGACCACGCACACGTCACACCCTCCCCCTGGAGGGGGACCACGCACACGTCACAACCTCCCCCTGGAGGGGGACCACGCACACGTCACAACCTCCCCCTGGAGGGGGACCACGCACATGTCACAACCCCCCGAGGGGGACCACGCACACGTCACAACCCCCCCCACCCCCCTGGAAGGGGAACCACCCACCGTCACAACCCCCGTGGAGAAGGGCCACCCACCGTCACATTCGGACTACCCATCGTCACAACCCCCCCTGGAAGGGACCACTCATCGTCACAACCCCTAGGGGGGACCCACCACCCATTGTATGGAGAGCAGTCATTGATGTGTATGTGGTAACTGTATCCTGAAAGTCTCCAGTCTCCTGGTGTGTGGGCACTGTAGGCAGAGCAGCCATCTATGTGTATGTGGTAACTATATTCCGGGGGTCTCCGGTCTTTGTAGGCAAATTGTATGGAGAAGAAGCCACCTCTAATTATGAGGTCACTATATTCTGGGGGTCTCCGGTCTTTGTGTGTAGTAATGACTATATACCAAGGGTCTACGGGCCCCCAAGGACACAAAAAATCTTGTTACATAAAAAAAAAAAAAAAAAAAAAAATCTTTTTTCCATATCCCCCTCAGGCCGCCCC